AGGTCTATGTTCTTAAAAAGTATACTCTTTCCTGAAGAAAAAACACGGATAGGACAGATAGGAACCATAACCTTTTACCTTGGCTAGTTTTTCTCCTCTGAAGTTTAAGGTCACTGCTTCTGTATTCCGAGGATTATGAACCTCTATGTGAACTTCATCATTATCTTCATATTCTCGAATCAGTGCTGCTTTTAATCTGGCCATTTCGTTCTGTTCTCCATGGACTAAAATCTATACAGAATAAATTTTAAAAGAGCATAGGGAAACATCCTTCATTCAGATTAATGATGATCCTTATCTGAGTTAGTTAAATAAATGAAATAGAGACATATATAGTAAACAGAGACATAACATAGTAAAGTTACAAAACTTTACTACTTTTAAGGAACTTTAGCCAATCAAACTTGTATAGACATATTCATTCTGTTTGGCTTTAAAAGATCCTTATGGGGGACTATTTCAACAGAGAGCAAAGAAATTTTCTAATCCAATCTTTGTCTGAAATATTTTATAGTATTGCTATAATAAACAGAAGGAAATATCAGAAGTCACTTTTTTTCTTCATGAAAAGCTTCTTTTGAAAGTTTTATTAAGAAACTAAAGAAAACTATGGGTATTTTCTGAGATAGTAGGTATAGCAATAGTTTTATACAAGAGTGACATGCATTTAAATCTAGAAGAGACTACAGAAGTCACCTGGTCTAGCCCTTTACCAATGTGAACACAGAGGCATTAAAACATAGAAAAATTCATATATCTCATTGAGAGCTTAGTGGTGAAGAGCCCAGGCCTGGCTGCCTGCAGAACACAAATTGTTCTGTTAATCTGTGTTGACAGAACACCAATCCTGTCAAGGCCACTTACTAGCTGTGTAACCTTGACCAAGTTACTTAACACTTCAATTTTCTCATCTATAAAACAGCTGTTGGTTGTGAAGATTAAGCAAGTTGATTAATAGAAAACACAAGTACAGTGCCTGGAACATGGTAAATAATAAATGCTAGCTATTATTAATTACTATCAGCAATGCTACTATATAGTATAATTTTATCATGTAGATACACTTCTGCTAAAGCTGGTTATTGGAGGAAAGTAAATAGCAAGTTCAACCCGGGAACTTAAACTGTCAGCAGAAATAGGACCTGGAGAGCAATGAGATGAAATGGGACAGAGATGAGGTGGTGACACCAGTGAGAAAGAGCAACACAGCTTTTCCTCCCTGCCCTGAAAATCTGGGAAAACGTCCATAAACCACGTGCACCACAGAACATCAGGGAGGAGCCTACGCTGTAACTAAACTCAAAGTAACTAAATGTAAATGTAACTGTAACTAAATGCTACAAAGCTAGGAATAGGTGAGTGATTTTCTCCACTAAGAACCTGCTTGTTAAAGGGCCTATGGCAAGTACCCCTGAGGACTATCATGCTAGAAGGGACTCAAAACCTAACAACAGAGTACACAAAAACATGCCCGACATCTTTAGTCATTAGGGAACTGAAAATCAAAACCATGATGACATACCACTTCACACTAGCCAAAAAGTGAAACACCCCAAGTATCTATCCACAGACGAATGGATAAACAAAATGTGGTACACAGACAATGGACTATGATTCAGCCATAAAAGCCATGAAGTTCTAATACATGCTACAACATGATGAACCCTGAAAATATCTTAAGTATTGCATGATCCTCTCATATGAGATATCCGGAATAGTCAAATTCGGAGACAGAAAGTAGATTAGAGGTTACCAGGGGCTGGAGGGAGAAGGGAACGGGGAGTTATTGCTTAATGAGTACAGTTTTTGTGTGGGGTGATGAAAAGTTTTGAAAATAGCTAGTGGTGATAGTTGTACAACATTGTGAATATAATTAATGCTATGGGATTGTACACTTAAAAATGGTTAAAACTGTAAATTTTAGTTACATATATTTTACCACACTTAAACATATTTGGAAAACAACAAGCAAAAAAGACTAACAAAAGGTCTTTTCCTCTAAGCTACTTTCCAATACATTTGGAAAGGGTACTTCACCTATTTTCTATAGACACATTTCATTAGTGTTTTTCTAATTAAAAATACGTATTTTTTTCAGCTTACTTCTCTTTCCAATCTCATCAAAATATATTAGTTACTTTTATATTACATAAAACTTAAAAATATAAATAAGTCATACTAATAAGGAACTATGTAATATATTTCATGTCTATTAAATCTTCAATTTTTACTATGACTAATCTTTCTTGTTTCTCCAAATTATCCTTGCACTGCCTATTTGATATTATTATTAAGCATTTACTATGTGCCAGGCACCATATTAAATGCTTTAGAAATACATTCTCTCATTTGACAATAACCTATGAGATATTACTGTTCCTATTTACAAATAAGATACAGAGAGGTCCAGTAACTTGCCCAGGGTTACACAGCAAGTTAGGGAAGGGGCTGGGATTTAAAATAAGCAGTTGTACTCCAAAGTCTTGCTCTTAAGTTATTGGAGAGGCAACAGAAAATAACACAAAAAACCACTAGAATTGGGGTTAGTAGGTCTGAATAAGAGTCAGTGTAAAATGGAGAAAATTAAAGTGTGTAGCTTGCCTAACTCAAAAGAGAGCTATAAAGGTAAAATCCAAATGCAAATGCAAATGCTCTGTTCAAAAAGTGCTACATTAACAGAAGGTGATGCTTGATTTGTGAACTGGCTGCTTCATGGTTTCTTGGGTATGCTTTTTTTCCCTTTAATACTATAAATCAAATTCATAGACTAACCACATGAGGAGGTTTCAAAGCACGGATAAATTCACTGGTTTGCTGGTAATCCGTGTGAGCAGAGAAAGAAATGTAATCAACAGACATTTTCAGTGGTAACTTCTGTCCAGACATGGTAGTGATTTCTTCAGGTTCAGACATGATATGCTGTTAAAAATAAAGAAAAATAACAAAGCAAAACAAATAAACTATCCAATTAAAAAATAAAAGATACATTTTATTTTCTTCTCATGCAATCATAAACTCTTATGTTAAGTTTAGGACCTTCAGCACAAAAATCATTCTAACACTACTGACTTAGTAAATAACAAATAGTTATTTTATTTGATAAAGCAAACATTTAATAAGGAAAGTAAGCAGATTAACTTAAACTCAATGTATCTGGAGTGCTGGCAATGTAAATTATGACTCTTATGCTTAGAAAGACAAACCTGTATCCCCAACTATTCTTCTGATCTAGAAAGTCATTTCCCAGATAGAAGGATCTGTATAAAGGACAGATGTGTTTCTATTCTGGAAATCTATTTTAAATACATGGCAGGTATTGTCACTAAAAGACTTTATAGAATAA